AAAGTGCAGTAAATTAGAGTGTAATAATCGACTAAAATACGCAATTATAGCCTATCATCAATAATATTAATTTTTTTTGTGAATTTACGGTGGTGCCTCGATTTGCATACCTAACCTTTAAATGTTACGCTATTTTTAAAATCTATTCTTTATAAATTGTTTGACTGTAGTTTTTTGTTCTTTTCTATTCACGATGTTACCTTTAGTGATTTTGCATTGTTGCTTCTAAAATAATGGCCTAGTTGATGATTATTTATATTGTTTTAGGCATTTTAGAGTGTTGAGATTTTTGAGAAACATATCGAAAAAATTTATCACGATTGTTTAGTGTGTGCAGATATATTTATCTTTTATTTTGCCTTTGGATTTTGCTTTTTTCTTTTCCTTATTTCTTTTAGTTTTCATTTATTTTTCACTTACTTAGATGACCTTAATTCACTTGTGAGTTTGCATATTAACTTTAAAAAAAAGTTGAAACTAATGTATTAGATGAACCAAATACTCGATTGAATTTTTTTCAAAGATCCAAAAAATGAAACCTGAAAAATGAATGATAAAATATAAGTAGAAAAGGTAAAATGTTACATACGTTTTTCTTTTCTTTTTGTTTCACTTTTTTTTTTGGGTGCAGGTGTAAGCGGCGATGTTAAAGTTTTATAGTTGATGATGCAGTAATAAACTTGTGCAAGTAAGTATTAGGTTTTCAGGTAGTAAAATTATTGTCTCTGATATTCAACATTTTAGGTGAAGGTAATGTTCTTAATCAATTGGTGATTTGATTTGTTAAGAATTAGAAGAAGTTTCAATATTGATATACTAGGGTCATGACACATAAGTATCACTACCTATTGCTAAATCTATGGCAATGAAAGAGAACGACTGCATAAATAGCAAAGACAGATTAGTGGGATCCTCTATTAAGAGAGCAACTGCGCATAACCACAATGCACGTTCAATAGGTATAACTTCGAATAAGCAATTTTAGGACTCACTTGCCAATAAGTCATGACTGAAATGCCCCTATTGAGTTTTCTTCAAAAACTATTAACGGAACAATTCCCTGATTAATTTGTTGTGAAATAGTTTGTTTGGTATGTCTTATAATGCCATGGAGATTGAGAATCAGATTTAAATCAATTATGAATGCATAGATAAGTTTGAACTTATATATTGAATACTTTCTCGAAGTTATTGAAATGTGCACCCAATACTCGGTTGTTTTAGCTTTCTTAGTATCCTTTTCGCTCTTTTTTTCTTTTCTTTTTTTCCCTTTTTCTATTTCCTTCCTTTCTTCGATAAAATTTTATACCAATGTTATATCAAAAGGAAATGTCATGAAGAAGAGACGACATTGTACATTCTGGATATGAAAATATATTTATCACTTGGAAACTTTTTTTTTACTTATTTTTTCTCCGTAAATTCAGTTACATATAATATGACTATTACAATTGTTAATATTCGTTAGGAATAGCATTTAAATGGAACAAAATGCAGAAAAAATAATGTTACAATTTTTTATATTCAGAAGTATCAAAATCCAATTATGAATTAATAAATATTAAAGTCATTATATTAGTGAACTATTACTATGAACATCATTTCATGACAAGGGAGGGAAGGCGAGAGGATGTAGGTTAGCCAAAAATCTCTAAATAAATTACTAATAAATATTAATAATGAGTAACATTTAAGTAGTTAAGGAAGACTGAGATTTACATTGCCTTTTTTTTTTCCTCAATATAATGTGTTGGAACAGTTTCTCTCACTAATGTGTTCATTCATACCGCATAGATCTATGCTTGGTTCAAATTTTGGAACCTCCAAAGTAGCAATTTGGATGAAATTCCAAAAGCCTGCCTTACTTTTTCGACTATTCTTTGGAATCTACGTTAAATAAACTTTAAATGTTAAAACCTATTTAAGCAGTTTATAAATGACAAATAAGGCAATTAAAGAGGCTTTGGCGAATTTATCAAGCTGTCTACAAAGATAAATATTATACTTATCGTAACAAACTTATAGAATTATTCATATGCTTATAAATTAGACTTTTATCTACTTTACTATTTTAATTACTTAAATTCTCAAAGATGTATCCGCGGGAAACGGGGACAAATCCACTAGTCTTTTTATAATATAGGATATAGGAAGTACTAAGCCTACTAGCTTAAATGTTGTGTCAGCCTCAAAACTCACAAGTCCGTCCGGTAGCAGAATCCATTTCGTAAGTAGCATTTAAAACACATGACTTCTACAAGTCTTAATTAGCAAATGCGTTTTAAGTCGCATAAAACCATTTGTCCCATGGTAAATGCTATTGGTTTTACACTTCTACTCACACTTGTAATATAGTAGGGGAAAATGCAGTGTTCTAGTTACTTGATCCATTTCTCCGGCGAATTCCTTACTCCTGGGTGTGATTATCTTTCTGCAGCAGTGAAATCAAATTGTAAGTTTCCCATCTTTCTCTTAGACCCTAATCTCTTTCTCTGTTTTTTATTAGCAGAATGGAAATTGAGTTTGGTTACATGCATATAGAAATCCCTNCAGCAGTGAAATCAAATTGTAAGTTTCCCCTCTTTCTCTTGAACCCGAATCTCTTTCTCTATTTTTTCTAGCAGAATAGGAGTTGAGTTTGGTTACATGCATATAGAAATCCCTCAAACTCCCCTTTTTGCATGATGATTGTAACTATCTAGTTGCTTTGCGTTCTTTTTTTTTTTTTTTTTGCGTCCATGTCATTAATATTATGGCTCCAAGTTGTGATTATTCTGAAACCCTTCGACCGAGAGAACCCTATCAGGCAACTGCTCACCTAAATTCCTTTATTCTTTAAACTTCAAAACTTTAGTGTGTTAAAACTGCTAATTTCAATACTTGGTTTCATCTAGGTGTCTAATGTTTTAGCTTCAACACATTCGTCTCTGAATGGAAAAGTTAATTAGCCATATAGCTGTAGGTAATCTGTATTCAAAACCTGAAAACCAGAGAAGTAAAGAAATAGTAGTTCAATAAAACAAAACATATAATAATTTCCGAGCCCACAAGTTATTTGTGTGTCCTTAAGGAATTTAATCCCCTCACTGTTATGGATTACTTCCTCCCATGATAGAACGGAAAAAAACTATTTTGTAATATTGGCAATCGAAATTAAAGAACTTTAACAAACGGAGCAAATCACACTTGACACTTTGTTTATTTGGAAAAATAATGCAACAATGTAGAAAAGATGGAAGAAGTTTCAGATTTTCCATGTCTGAAAATTGAGGCTAATCCTCTAAATTTATAGACAATGAAAGGGTGAGACGAAGAGTTGCAATTCAAAAGGTACCTCTTCCATTTCCCATTCACGAAACCTAACAATAGCTTTGCATGCACCTCTAGTGTTAATTTGATTGTTATTTTAAGGTTAACATAATGTTGACCAAATCCTTTCTTGGTTTACTGTTTACTAGAACTGGAGTTTCATTGCTAAGTTTTTCAGAAAAAATGTGTGCGTCGGTTGTTTCTGATCTTTGTAAAATAATGAAGTGATTCGAGCTAGTAATGATTGATACATGAATTAAAGAAGAGGGAACTTTTCTATTTGCTTTAATTAGTATAGATGCAGTATGAGGACCAGAAGACTAAGGAAAGCAAAAGAAAGTCAATCCATGCAACTCAAAAGTTGAAGGAAAAACGATACTACAGAGAATTTAACCGAGAGCAACCAACTCAGTTAATCAAATGACGCCTTTTAGATAGCACTCTACATATTTGTTAAGAAGCCTTCTATTTCAAATAACAAGCTGTAAGCTGCTATTAATGGTGATTTTGTATGGCAGCTAGTAACTAAAACAAAAAGCATAAAAAAGAAATACTTGCCTTTTTTTTCTTTTGTCGTAATTGATAAACCTATATCCTGTTTTCTCTTTTTCATTTTCCCATGTTATGTCTTCCTTTGGACCATGGTTTCCACAACCGGCTCCATAATGAAAGTAAAAAGTAACGACAAATTGAGAAACAGCCTCCTAGGAATGAAGTAAGAGAAGCATAAATCTAGACATCATTATCAGACTTGATTGTCAAAGAAGGGTATTGAGTTCTGAGAAAGATAGTGAGAGATGACTATGTAGAGGCTCGTCTCAAATTTGATGATTGACTGTGGCCTTTTTTTTCAAAAATTTAAAGGAGAAAAAGATGAAGCCGGTTTAGTTGTTTAAAGGAACCTTTACTGGTTATTTAAGGGCAAACCCATAGAAGTAACTCATAAGAAGCGAACAAGTAATTTGTATGTCGCTGAAAGTTGAATAGTCAAAAAGCCGTAGAAAGGATAAAAGTGAATGCCAAGCTATAGATGCCTCTCTCTCTCTCTCTCTCTCTCTCTCTCTCTCTCTCTCTCTCTCGATCGATCGATCGACTAGGACTGAACTCATGCCTAGCACCTAGTTTAGTGAAAGCTACTTCGCTAAAAAGGTTTATCTATGTCTCTCTCTATGTGTGTGTACATAATAGAGATTTAATATTAAAAAGAAAAGAGATGTATATATTATGTAAGGTGCTCCATATCAAAAAACATATGTATTATGTAAGGTGTTTCTATGTATATAGATGATTGGGTTTCTTTTGTAGAGAGCCACATTTTGATGCAGTTTTGTCTAATTTTAATATCCTTCTTGTATAGAGGGGCTTTCCCCACCATTAATAAAATTATTTACCTCCCTGAAATCTTTTCCATCCTTTCTTCTCTGTCATAATCTTCACCTGCCAATGCCCCTTCTTGTATTCCTCAATTTTCCCTGGCTTTATTAGCAAAGCAGCATAGGATTACAATCTCATTAAGAACGTGCCTTCTTGTTTCTGACTGATTTTATTGATTTAAGTACTGGGTTCCATTCTCATATCATTCTTTGACACTGAATTTATGGATGCAAATGTTAGATGTTTTGTGTAATTCAGTCATAGCGTATCTGATTCATCCGGAAATGGTTGGAGCGGCTCAAACTCCCAACTTGTTAGTTGGAGGTGGAGGGTCTCTTCCACTAGATCAATCCTCTGTTTTCTTTTTTATTGGTCTATAAAAATTTCGTAACTCAATAATCTTATCATTGTCTACTTTGTAGGTCATGATACGTCAAAGCTTCACATGGGTTCCGTGTCTCTTGAGTTCGCTAGTTGGTTCAACTATTTCCACAAGCACTAAATATAATGTGACTAGTACGAGTTATGGAGCTTTTGAACGTTTCCCTGATTGTATCATCATCAGTGTCCTAAGTCGGATTCCCATAGATTGCATTATGAAAAGTCGAAGGGTCTGTCGGCTGTGGCAGGCTTTGATCTTATCACGTTAGTTTGCCACCTTACATCATGATAGGGAGAGGCTTTTCGTACAATATGACGAACTTGACTTTTTCGTGCTAGAGGAAAATGATAGTAAAGAGAAGGTGCTCGAGAAAGTAAGCCTCAAACCTGAACTTACAATGACGAAGTACCATCCTTGTCTTTTACATTCTTGTCAAGGATTACTTCTTTTCGGTGACCATGTTTTCCCTTCTACATATTTTGTTTTTAACCCCTTAACACAAGATGAAATAACCATAAGACACACTCGGTGCTGGCAGCATCTGTGGTTTTTATTTGTGTCCATTGACTAGGGAACTTAAGATTCTTTATGCAGAAGTACGAGTTATTAGCTGTCAATATTTAATCTACACTATCAGGAGTCAAACTTGGAGGAGAATTAGTTCACCTTCTTTGAATTCCATCCAGACTTATCTCTCTCCTGCAATTGTTAATGGTGCAATTCATTGGATTATGGATCGAGAATTTGGAGAGATCCCTCCTCACTCAATTGCAGTTTTGATGTTTAGATTGGATACAGAAGAATTCTCCCTCATGCCTCATCCTGGAACACAATGTAGTTCAAGACAATCACGTGAATGCGGAACACATGAAACCATGTCTCTCCTAGTGAAGGAAGAGTATTTGTCTTTCTGCCAATTGCATATTCATTAGAGTGCAATGGACATATGGATCTCGGAGGACTATGAGATGTGGGCATTGATCAGAAGCTACAGGGTTAATCTTAACTTTGATGTGGATGCTTTTCCTTGTCATTCACCTTCTTATTATTGCGGACCTGAGCTGAGGAGTTTGGGCATGGTACAGTTTTTAAAGCCTTCAAGCATTCAAGATGGTGAACTACTAGTGTGCTGTTCTCTGAGAGGGTTCTTTCTGTATAATTTGGATCTTAATATGGAGAATTGAAAGGCCACAAGGAAAAAGCTCTACATTAACCCCATTCAATTGTATTCCTTATACCAAGAGCCTCCGTCACATAGTCTAGCTCTCTTCCTTTTCATTTAGCAGTAGTCTCAGACTGTCATGCTTATTTCTTACTTGTGTTGGTAGTGTTGTGTATACTGTGCAGTTGACCTGAAGTCAGCCAAAGGGGAATCTCTCTCATCCATTATCTTATTTGTGAAAGCACTAAGTTGTTCTGACCATAGTTCCGTTAGTAGTGATTTTGTGCAATTTGTTAAGAACTTTATTCCCCAGTAATTTATCTGAGCAATTCAGTTGTTTAGATGATTGTAAATAATTGTTCATAGGCTACAGATTCATTTTCAGGCTATTAATTGATATGGGGTTGGACCTTGTCCCAACTCACTTTAAGTGCATACATGTATGATATGTAGATGCTTATGCTTAGCATTTAATGGTAGTGTAACTGTAATTTTGCTATTAACGGTAATGATAAAATCTTTGTTGCGGTTAGTTCCTACCAAGAATGCTTTACCTTCTCAACTTGTCACTACAGTTCAAGGGAATAGCTGAAACATAGCTGTTTGAGAAATGGTAAAAAGAAATGAAACTAATTTGCAGTACCAGAATTTCTGAATCTCTGTGAATGGGATTGCTTCAAACACTTGCGCGTTGTTGTTGGCCCAAGTGAAGTTTGTTTGATGATTGACAAAGGAATCCAAGCATGAACCAGGTCCATCCACAGTGTACACAGACACGGGCAGATTGAAGCATAAGGAATGCACGTGATTGAGACAAGATGAAGGGGTTTATGTAATTTAGCCAAATACTATGATGTTATGAATTATGTAAGAATTATTGAGCGACCCCTTAATTCCTATTCTATGCTTAGTGTTTTTGCCTGTATAAATATCAGGATTGCGAGTACATGTATCCGTCGACCAAAACAAGCAATTAATCACAGTAAAGGGTTTGGAATCAATCTTGTATAATATCAAATTTAAGATGGAATCATAATGTTTTACAATGGTAAAAAATTTAATTTACTGGCATAGGATGTTTACACCCAATATAGTTAAGTTAGCCAAAACCAAGATCTACTAGAAGTCCTGTTTTTAATATAAAAAGAAATTTTGAAAAAGAAAGTAAAGTCAAAATCAAATTCTGGCTTAAGTTTTTACCGTTTTGATATAATCTTTGTATGATAAACTTTAAACTCTCATCTACTCTTAGAAAAGACAGATTAGAAATTCATGCATCTTATCAGATCCCATACTTCTCTCCCTGGTATTATGAATATACCATAACCTTATTTTCCCCCAGTCTAATATACAAAAGTAACATGGAAACTATTTAATTTGAAACAAACAATGAATAAATTGCAATATCACCTCCTCTGGAAGTTCAACTTCCCAATGAAAAATGCAAATAGACTGGCAAAAACTAGGGGGTATGCAATCAAAACAACAGCTACAATAGGTAATTGATTGTGGTGAAAACCAAAATAGTCCCTAAGAAAGGCTGCTACTGATTTCTTTTCTCCAAACACATTAATCTCCGTATCTACATCTCCATATTGTGAAGTAAGCATCCCATTCAACGTCCAAGATGTAGGTGTTAGATAATAGAACCAGATCCACCATTTTGGGATTTGCTGCAATGCAGGGAAAAGAAACAAAATTTTAAATGTCACACACTGACAGAGGTAATTACAAAATAATCATTGATTTTTACATTCAAAGCGGCTTAAATTCTGAACCACTTACCGCCTTTGGCATCAAGAAGCCAGCAAAGAGGTTGAACATTGTGTAAAAGGATGATTGAAGAATTGCGGCTACTGGAAAGTTGGGCGTCATTGAAACAAGCATCATTCCCAAGTACGTGAAGTACAGCAACGTGCAAAACATCGAATAGAAGTACCAGAAAACCTTATAGGCTGACCAATAATATCCAATCATCGGATATGTTATGACAGTAAATGCAAGCGCTTGAGCTAAAAGATAAGGAATTTCAATTGCCACCTACAAAATCAAGGTAATCAACTCAACTAGGAAGCAGTGAACTGTTGAAGACAAGTGTAAGATTTGGTATTACTGAATCCCCAGTAACTTCAACAAGTCAACATGCCAATTTTGTAAGCCTTATATATACCTGTGCTAATGCATAAGCCCATGATGCATACATCCCAGCAAATCTTTCCCGGTATAGGACTGATCGCTCTGTGGTCACATATGGTAAAACAGAAGATGAATTATTTATGCCACAGAAGATTACTGCAGTGAACATAGCACCAAATACACTGAAGACGCTCTGCTGGTTATCTCTGTCAAAAAGGAGGGAGAGAAACAAAAAAAACAGTAAGAAATATAATTTAGCTTCATATATATATAAAGTGACTCTATTTTAGTTGACGTAACCAAGTCCATTATCATTGGAGAGAGATCGTCACATTATTTAAACAGAAATTCAGTTCTGCATCAACCTTCACACACCAAAAATGGAACTCCAGAGTTCTGTTTCAGCTGTGTGGGTGATGTCAACAAAGATAAAACTAAGCCAAAATGTTGAATGTTAACAAACTTAACAGGAAAGGATATCTGAGCGGAAAATATAGGATCAGACGACCTAATTCCTTTTTCAACTGTCTCATGCCAACCACTTTAAGCATCACTTTTGAGATAAATATGTTACTTAGAAGTCGCCAAGAAATTTCCATGAGGATGTATAAAGTTTTTAAGTAGCATGGTATAGTGAAGCATGTTGTCGATAAGTTAACTGAAGCTTTGGTCTAACAGTGTTTTTGTCATCTTACAGTTTCTTTCCCTTATCCCAAAAGAGCAATCCAAAAACAAGGGAAGCAAAAAGCATGTGCAGAGAGCGCATTAAATTGTATGAAGGACTCCTCCAATAGGACCAGTATTGTTTCCAGAAGCAAGTCTTGAATTGTCCCCAGCCATTCTGTGAAAACCGGGTGGGGAAATGCAAATCCTTTGAACCAGCTGGTGGGAAACTCAGCTTCTTTACAAGCTCATCGTTATTTCTACAAAAAGCGTAAACCAAAGAGGAATCATGCATACTGTGCTTTTGAGTTTTAAGTGATACAATGTGTAAGATGCATTATAGAAATGATGCTAGATGAGGTGAATAGCTATGACTAACTTGTGTAGAGCAGAATTCTTATAGACTTCAGCGAAGTCTATGGTAATCTCAGCTTCGCTAGATGTTGATGTAACCTCTAGCATCCATGTTGCTGGGTTGTAGTTGTTCTTTATTTTTGGGACACCAGAGATACCCTGTCAAATGAGAAAAACAAACAGCAGTCTCAGCTACTATGCAAAGAAGCTTTTGTTACTAGCTTGCTGCAACATTAATAAAATAGGAAACTAGTGCACCTCAAAATATTCAATCATTTTACAAGAATTTCGACCGAGGTGTCCCCAGTAGATCATGCGCCCACCAGTTTTCAACAGAATCAGCTGCAAAAGAGCACAATAAAAACAAATAACTTTTTGATGATATCCATGAAGGATACATAGTTAGACAAGCTGAAAGATATTTCTAAGTAGATGTAGACAAATGGAGGTCGCAAATTTCCACGGCAATCTGAAGGAGAAAACAAGAGCATACTGTAACTTCTAGTACCCAAGGGCGTGTCTTAGTGGTCAATGAAATGGGTTGAGAACCATAAGGTCGAGTTCAAATTCCAGCAGAGGCAAAAACACTAGGTGATTTCTTCCCATCTCTTGGACAGAGTTACCTGCCTGATACATGTTGTTGGTGGGAGGTAGCAAGTATACCATGGAATTAGTTGAGGTGCGTAAAAGTTGGCCAGGACACCACGGTTATAAAAAAGAACATTGTAAGATCTATGATTAATCATCCTACTTCTAAGTAGATGTCTTTGCTTTTACTACAAATGGAGGTCGCAAATTTCACGGCAACGTGAAGAAGAAATCAAGAGACATACTGTAAGATCTATGTTTAATCATCTTTAAATGTGGGAAACAACAGAGATAAATGATCTAAGGCCTTCATGTGACGACACTTCTCCTATTCATTTGTAAGGAACTAGATATTATTAAATAGTCATTCGGAAGGTCTCATTAGTCACCGTTTAAATGGCTTCCAGGACAACTTCCCCAGGCACTGATACACATAATTTGAGATACTACCCAAGAATTCTAAAATGCTATATATATATCAAGCAACATGACATTAGGCTCTGCGAGTAATCTGACTGAAGCCTACGAATATATAACCGACCTTAAAACCTTGAAATTGCTGTTCAAGCAGCATTTGTTGATTGTGCTCAGTGCACAAATTGGAAAGTATTCTCCACCCAACCATGGACCATTAAGTACATGCACAATTAAATGCAATCACAGTGTTTGCATACTGGAAAGTCATTCAAACTCCACTTCAATCTGCATTACTAAGCATTTACTCCTTATATACATCTTACCTCGTCAAATGCTTCAAATATGTCAATGCTTGGTTGGTGGATGGTGCAAACTATTGTTCTTCCTGTATCAGCAACATTTTTCACAGCGCGCATGACAATTGCAGCTGATCTTGCATCCAACCCTGTTGTGGGTTCATCCATGAAGATAATTGAGGGATTTGCAACAAGCTCCACAGCAATTGTAAGCCGTTTACGTTGTTCAGTTGAAAGCCCACTAACACCCGGCATGCCAACCAACATGTCTTTTATTCCATCTAGCTCAATGGTCTCAAGGACTTCTTTCACAAACTCCTGGAGATGTGCCAAAGCAGTTCAAATATAGATATAGCCAGAAAGAATGGTGTTCATGAAAGAAATAATAATTCAAACTCTATGTTAATAAGTTCGTACATATTTCGTTTTGGAGTCAATCTGAGGATGAAGTCGTAGCCAGGCAGAAAATATAACTGATTCTTCTACAGTTATCTGAGGAGAATGTATATCTGTCTGCTCACAGTAACCTGAAACTCTAGCGAATGTCTCTTGAACTTTAGGATATCCACCAATTTTTATTTCTCCTTCAACATAACCACTTGTTTTTCTACCAGCAAGAACATCAAGGAGGGTCGTTTTTCCAGCACCACTGACACCCATAAGGGCTGTAAGGATACCGGGTCTAAGTGCGCCAGTAATATCCGAAAGAAGTTGGAGCCTATTTTGAGTGAAACCGAGCTCCTTCATTGTCTGACATGGACATAAAACCACAACTTCAGCTACTGGAACTCAGCTTAAACAGCTCTAAGTTATCCAAAAATGATCTAATACTAAATGAGATAGATTTAGAAGATACCACAGGAGTGTCAACATAGTACTGAACATCTTGAAACACGAGAGATAGGGGTTCGAAAGGTAGAACCATTCTTCCTGGAAAACAACAGAAGAAATCATTTTTGAAGAGCAAGGAAGCAACTATAGAATGATGAGAAAGATGGTAAAAAGCAAGATTTCTCAGCCAATTATTCGTGCAATAGAATAAGAGGGTAACCTGCTCTTTCATGAGAATGCATTGTGGTGCTAGGAATTGTGGCCTTGGAACTATCAGCTGCATCAGTTCTATCACAAGAGTCGCTACTTCCTTCTATTTGGGAGTACTTATCCGTTGATATAATGGCGCGAGAACCAGGAGCTGCATCACATTTTCAAGAAAACCAGCACGTAAATTACAAAATCTATTGTGCAGATTCTTTAAGTACAAAATATAGATGAACGTACCTTTTAAGAAAGTTAAGGCCAAGGTGAAACCGATGTTGAATAGTATTGTAAAGCCAAATAAAGCACAAACTGATATCCAATAAAAATATCCATCAAAGTTAAACCCACGGCTTTCAAGGACTCCATTCCCTATACTTGTGTTTGCTGGTAGCGTCTGTTTAAAAATGAAGCATGTGATACTGAGTATTGACTATAATATGTACAACTAAATTTAAAATCTGCATAAAACATCTAATGAGACTGCTAGGTTATAAATTTGGAGTTATTCTCATCATGCAGAATTTTATTGCATATTTCAGAGGTTACCTATAGTTGAAACTGTCTTACCCTAGCTGGAGAGAAAAATCAGCTATTGCTACTGAGTGCCTATGAAGTGCTTGAATGGATTTGTTACAACAGGAATACAAAAGAACATTAAGCGCTTGGGTCCAAGGTAGCCTTTAGATTACTGTTTCTTGTCAAGGAAAAAATTAGTAACGCTTTATAAGATGTGATTTGTTATGTATATGATGAACATTGCATATTCAAGTGTTTCTGGAATCAAAGAGACAATTTATGCTTTGCGTGTTACAAATTTGGGTTTAATGACTACCGACATGAATAGAATCTTCCCTAGACAGTTTCATTCTTTCAGATAACAAAAAAGAACTGACAAATGACAACACTTTATCATTATCTTAAACAGATGATCACTTTATTCTCGGAGCGTAATTTCAGGACAGAAGATGGAAAAACAACCACCAATATTGTTTTCATTTTCTTATACATATGCCTTAGAAAATACTTTTCAGTACTGCATATTTAGAGAGAAAATATTTGAGCTATTGACTCTCACCTTTTGCCATCTTGGCGCAAGAAATTCATTAACAGCAAGACCTATCTCACCATATGACAGCGGAGAAATCCAGAATCCCCATTTCAGCCAAATGGGCATTGAAGCTGTAGTCAAATACCAGTAGTTTAGTTCTGCTACTCACCCTCACATGAGCATCATATCAAAATGAACAAAGAAGTAGGAATGCTTACGTCTTGGTATTATGAATCCGCTGAAACATAAGACAAATAAGATTGATAAACTACCAGCAACTGTAGAAGCAACGATAGTCCGGCAGACAGATGCCAAGAAACGGAACATGGAGATTGATGTCATGTGCACGGCAAATAATAGAAGTAATTGCCGGAAGAACCTGTAAGTGACAGAATAGTCACGAAAATGCATGAAATTATTCAAATCATTCTTTAAATACAACTGGAATTAGCGAAGTGCAAGCTGCTGAGTGGAAGCCTACTGGAGATAGTGATATAACTAACAAAAAAATTTAGTTGAAGGAACAGAAGCAAGAAAGTAGAAGATATTTACATGTAGCACTCACCTTCCAGCCTCAGGGGTGAAACCAATGACATAATAGGTCATAGATACCCAAATGACAGATTCTAATAGAGAAAGAGGAATCTTGAGAATTGTAGCAGGAATTGCATATGCCCATGCTGGGTAAAAGCATAACTCGCTCTGTTTATAGAAAACTGCAAGTCTTGTTATTGTCATGGACAGCTCAGGGAATCCATCCACAAGAAGAATGATGAGAGCATAAAACAGAGCTCCCAAATAATAATTTGCATGTACAAGATCAGTATCCATCCGAGTTCTAAAAAATACAGTCATAGTGATGGATGCAATAATGGCGAGCTGCATAGTAGAAGCATAGATTGCAATAAGTTGTGATAAATCTAAAGAAGGAAAATGTGACTTCTATCTTTGCTTCGGATAAAGCGAATGAGTAGAGAATGTTTTGTAACTTGGAGTATCATCATAAAAAGACAAAACAGATCACTTACCTGAACAGTTTTGAATATGTAGATGAAAGAATTCCTTTTCATGAGAAGGAATTCTCTTGACATACAAGCTCGAAAGAGTTCCCATTTAGGAAGTGAATAGTCACGAAAGGTTATAGAGTTTCTATGACTCCTGGAGTTATCATATGGAACAGAAAGTTCTTCATTCAGCTTTTTCCTGTAAGGAGATCCCTTAAATTTTCTGGATAGCATATCAACTGATACAAATTTATACGTTTCTTTAGTTCCATGCCAGTACTGTGCTTGATCTTTTTTCGATGTAACCTGAAAACAATGAACAGATTTGGTGAACTTCTAATTGACAGAGAAAAATATAAGGGNCAATTTATAACCATTGTAAGAAATCTCCCCAGAAACCTGTTAGACATGGCCAGAAGCAGACACATAAGATCGACATTAGCTCCATATATTCTGAACTCCATCCATACCATGAATTCTACATCACTCTTGTTCAAGTGAAGGTGCAAAAATTAGTGCAATTGTTCAATAGTTTCTTCTTGGAGGAGGGGTTGGTGAAGTCAATAAAGCTTCTGCTCTCTTGGTGAAATGGGAGAAAGATAGCAATTAAGTGTTCCCTAGCTGAGATCTTAAAGATATAAAGGAACTAAAAGTGGCTAAGAAGAACCAGGAAATCACTAATAAAACAATTCCTACAAAAGAAGACCTATTAATTCTCATCCAGTATGTTGTAGATCAAAGTAGTTGCTTCATATCAGCTGACGGGTTATTTTAAGAAAGTATTCCTATATTTTTCTCTTGCCGACATTAAAACAAAAACAACTTTAATCTTTTCTGACATTAAGAGCAAAACAACTTGAAGAGACCTTAAGAGATTTGTCCAGGTTTCCTGAAAGTGCTTTCAGTAGTGATGTTTTGCCGCATCCAGGAGGTCCAAGCAATAGAGTCATTCTGTAAAAATAGCAAATGTCTTAAGTAAATTCTAAGTGTCCGGTTCAAAAACTCACATTTTAAAACAATGACTTCAAAATGAAGAACTAACTGTCCATATCAGAACATGCTGGAGGAAGAAACTACTAAAAGGTAGACTGAAATTAGCAGTAAAAAGTAAGCTGCACCAAGCTTCACATCACAAGATTATCGCGAATGCAAGACCAGTTCTGACACTTGACCCAAATAAAAATCACTTCACAACAAATGTACCTCAAAAGAACCTCTTGCAAGTTTATGCATATGATAATGTAATCACTAACTAATCACTTGCATCAATGCTAGTCAACTAATTTTCTGCAGAACAATACTATGCGACAAGTATATTATTCATCTCTCAGTTGCAACTATCAAATTGATTGAGAACATTAATCAACCAAACGGCCCAGTGTCTGGAGGTTTGTACTGCGTACACAATGCACATTATGTTCCCAAGGTAAATACACGATTGAGGGGCCGAATGCTTTTTTGGTTCACATAACCGGTTCTCTTACGTGCTGTCAAAACATGGCCATTACTGAATAGGGCTATGTAAAATATCAAGCAACAAATAAAAACAAGGATGACTAGTTCACAAGCATTTTCACCAAAAACCGAGCTTAATACAACCAACACAGATTCTGCTGTTGTTATTCTTGTTCAATCAACGAGCAAGGATTGATGAGACACTAACTGCACCAGATATGAGATGAGAATTACTGGCAGTGTAATAACAATGACCAGAAAAAGGTCTGTCTCCTGCAAGTCGGAAACTAGAAATCCAAGTTGTTGGCGTACTTATAGTGAGCTACATTGGCATAACTATTTAAAGTGAGCATATGCGATGGAGAAGCTTCGGCGACATACCGTCCAGGTTTTATTACACCACTGACATCATTAAGGATTTTAATCTTGGCCAGTTCTGACTGTAGACCTGGAAGCCTAGCAAGGTTCTGTTGAACAAATTGAATCACTAGATTTAGAAACCTGTAGAATCACAAGTAGCAAAATAGAATAACCTAATGCTGGAGCTTGCACCTTATGCTATACATTTAACATGTGAGCTCTGAAACCAGGATCACTATGAAGATGCTCATCAATTCTCTCTTACTTTTACTAACAGAATTGGTTGCAATGCATCAGAAAAATAACATATTGTTGTCACATATACGTAAAATGACCTAATGGAAAATATTATTAAAATTAGATAACCCGAATATCGAACCGGACATATTAGCACAAGAAAGATTCCACTATTTCCAGCTAATGATGGTTCAATTAATCACGTCTTCTCCTAGTTGAAGTCCTAATAAATGCCTCCTGATTATCAATTTTTAAATCCAGCATTAAGCAGCTGCTACTTTAGTTTGAACTAGCACACATGTAAGAGATCAAATTGATGAAAATATAAATGGTGCTCAATCAAATGGAAAAAACTTACCATCGTTATGCTTTTGAGAGAATTCCAAAGAGTAGGGAGAGGCTTTCCATGAACTAGCTCACATTCTGCTTCAATGGTTAAATTTTTATATCTCACTTCCACTGTAGGCAATTCTACACCAACTCTACAAGAGTCAAAACATTTTCAGTTCGTTGAATTAAGTCTAACAGATAAACCTTTGATAATATGAGAAGACAAACTATGAGACATACAAATAATGATATTCATAAATTAGCATTATCAATCACCAAAAAGATGGCAATTCGAAAGCAAGAGCAATGACCTTTCGTTGTATTTTACAGCCAAGGNACAGCCAAGTTATGTAACAGAAATCTTACTTGTCAATTCTCTTTCTGATTTTGTGCAACAATTGAAGGTTGTCATGTTCAATGTGCTTAATCATCTTTTCAATGAAAACATGCCTTTCTAGAGCTCCGAGTTTGGTAACATCAGTTACTCTTTTCCTCTTAACATTGGCGTCGCTGCCATTGATTTCAAAGACAGATGATCTCAACCTATCAAATGTTGGCAGTCTCTCAATTGCTGCCCAGGCCAACATGTTCTCCTCATCTACAGCATCGTCCTTCTGAGAAGCACTTAAGGCTGAATTGCTCCTGAAACTCGAAGACTGGCCCCTGAATGATGATCTCAAGCTTCTTCCAATCTCTGCGAGATCCATTCTAAATGATTCTATTTCATCTGGACCAACCAGCTGAGCCATTTTTGATGTAAAATATTTTCAGCTCCAAACCTGTATTTATAGGCAGAAAATAAGAAGGGGTGCACCATGTATGTCTAACATAAAATATTCTTGCTTGCTTGAACAGCTAAATTTAGACCGTAACATAGATGAGGTAAGGAAATACATCATTCATTTTTTTATGAATAAAGGCATTCTTGCTTTCTTTATATAGATAACGTAAATTAAAGAGACATACCTAGAGAATAAACAGATGTTTACAGTTGATAATCAATTAAATAAGGCTTGTTTATGGAGAATAACAAAAGAAAAATCTTTGAATAAACAAAAGAGTGCTGCACATTTCTCTAACTCCTCAAGGGACAGAGTCAGTTGACTTTCCTAGGAGGACAAAAAAGAAATGATTATTCTAAGGTTCTGACATGCAAGTTCATAAGTTCCAAAGTTCAAAGACTTCAACTAGGAGGGTCCTCCTTTATCTATAATAGAGCTCCATTATAGCTCGGTCATGCGCATTACTGCTTTGTTGGCACAAAGGGACAAGAAACAAAACTTCATATTGTTTATAGCAGATATTAAAATATTCTAACTATTCTTTGTAGTTGGCGGGAGGTGGGTGGGTGAGTGTGAGTTCTGTATGTGAACTCTTGTAAAGGCGTGAGACATCCCAGCTAAATAGAAGGTTCCCAGGAAGATGAATATTACAGTAATACAACACAGCAAAACTATTATGTATGAACATTTATCAGCGAAAGAACAGTCAACTAATAATCTAAGTAAGGCCTCAATTGCACTAGTTGCCATCTGCATAATTAATCATCGGTATTTGCTCTATTGGTCCAATTCATTCCAATACTAAGGATGGGTAGAACTAGACGTACCTAAATATCATAATTATTCATCAACTTACATGCCTAGAGCTAGAATAAAGAATGGCTCAAATGGTCCCATAAGTTTATGGGTTGGACTATTTTAGGCCTTCAAATTTGTTACTGAACATTACAAGTCCTTTAAGTTTGCAATTTCTTTTCTAAATCACTGGTTTTAGCAGAGAGAAAACAATGTTTAACATCAGACCAAGGAAAATTCTAGCTTTCTTCTCCCAGGTTTTCAACTTCTTACTAAATTCCCGGAAAATATATTAATTGAAATTCCCAGAACATAAATTAGACCCAAAAAAAAGCTCAAAACTTTGGCTTGATATATTCACATGGCAGCCGTAAGCCATGTGGGTAGAAGAATTCATCTTCGGTGAACTAGGTCACATTCTCTTTGATAACTGAATCTATATTGACCCTCCGCAAATTTTGATTAGTTCCATAGCCAATCAAATCGTATAAGAAGGCACCATTTTAAGTAGTACTAGTAGACATTTGGGGTCTTACACCAACTTGGGAGAAGAAATTCTCCATCTTCATTATTGTATCATTGCTCTCCACTTTAGCTGTAGTCAGACGAAATAGGGTAAGCTACGTACACCAAACTCTCCAGGATATTCCGATATTTGCGTCGGTAACTTTCTCTACGGAGCTGCAAATCATGTGATACCAACACGAATCATAAGGGAAACAAGATAGGGGATTTTCCTGATGCGAATTGTAAATATGGAGCTTTCTTGAGCTCGTGATGAAGGAGCATTGAGTTTTTCCATCCTTTTTTCCCTTTGTCTTTTACTGATGCTTCAATCAGCAAATTAGTGCTGAATCCATTAGACTTATCTACTTTTATACGCTCTTCTGTTCTTTTCAATCAGCAAATTAGTGCTGAATCCATTAGACTTATCTAGTTTTATATACGCACTTCTGTTCTTAAAAGAGATTTGTGACAGACGGATGGTCTGAAGTTTCAAATTTCACGACTAAATTTTAAAAGCAAAATACTTTCAACCACCCTAAACAAGGCTGTATTCTGGCCGGGGCCGGGGCCTAAATGGGCTAAACGGTCCCGGCCAAATGGTCCCGAATTTTGGCTGTCTCGGGCCTAACGGTCCAAATTAGGGAACCGGTCCACTGTGGGCCTAAGCCCATATGGTCCCGAGCTAAATGGGCCGGACCCACGGGCCTAAACAGGCTTTTTTGTTCCGAATTATTTTTTTTGAATTTTTTTTATCTAAGACAATTTCCTGCATACTATATATATATATATATATATATATATATATATTAGGAACCGATGTAGACGTATTAGTCTGATTCCAATACGTTCTTCTATTAACACATCTTGAGGGGTAGGCCGTGAATAATAGTAAGTTTGGCAGCGTACCTACTAAACCCTTGAGTTTATTAAACTCTGACCACGTCTCATTTTTATAATCAGAAACAATCTCNAGCACAACAAGGTACTAATACCACCATTAAAAGGAAAAAAAAACTAAGGAAGATGTGCCAAAATTCTAGTTACATAATAGTCTATGTATTATCTCTAACAAATCTCATAAATCATTCAAGGTCCGGAGGAATTTCCGTTGGTGGTGGTGGAAAATAAGCTTGTTCATCACCGCTTCCGGGCGAAGCAGCATCTTGCGCAAGTTCTGCTAGCATTTCTTCATAAGCTTCGTCTATCTCCGGTTGTGATTCTGCAAGTCCAAAATTTCTTCTTTCCGAACGGATCCAATCTCTGAAGAGTACTGATTTTTCCAAGTTCTCCCTCATAGAGAAAGCGCTCTCTGATGCCACTGTTGAAGCTTGCACACTTAAAATATCTCGAGCCATCCTTGAAAGAACCGGATAGTATTTTTGTTTGTCCTTCCACCATTCCAAAACATCGAAGGAGTCGTCGGGATTCTCTGATTCAAGTCCCTGCGACAAATAAACTTGAAGCTCATTTAGTTGTGAACTATCACCAATATTAACACCTTGAGAACCCCTGAACTCCGTCCAAGAACTAAAGGCTTTTATGTCCGCAGTTCTTTTAGATGATTGCGAACTAGACGAAGTAGGAGTTGGAACATTTGGTCTATCATGGTCTAAGGCAAGTTGATAAGCATTATAAATTGTTTGAGCATTTATTTTAACTGAGGCTTTTGCATCTCCAAGTGTACCAAATTCCTCAGTTGAAAGTGATAAAGCGTTATAAATTTTTGAGTACCAAAAGTGAGGACCTCCTAATTTCATTGTAGGATTTAACACTGCAACAACACAAAAAATAGGGGGGATAGGAAAAAAATATTTTTTAAACTTAGCTTTCATAGAATTAACTTGTTGATAAATTACTCCACCCTCTGAAAATTGAGTAAATAAATCTGCAAGTGCTGCAATATAAACTAAACAGTTAGAATAGTAGGATAATATTGCCCAGATAATTCTTTTTTAGCAACATGAAATTGTTCTAAAAAGTTTACAAGCATTTTAACATTAGTCCAATCTTGATTTGTAAGATGTTCATCATTATCATCATCATCACCTATACGAGCATTATACGTTGCGCTTATTGGGTTTCTATATTCATATACAACAACTAAACTTTCATACATGTAATTCCATCTAGTCGGACATGGTTTAGGAACATTTCTTTTCCTAAGGCCAAATTCATCACATTTTTTAAAATAGTCTCTAAGTCTACTTCTACGGGTTGAATAAAAAAGCCAATTAAGAGCCATTTTAACCTTTTCAATTTCTACATTTAAAACTTTCATACCATCACCGACGATTAAATGGTAAATATGACAAATACATCTAACATGAAAAATATTACTAAATGCAAGATTTAGTGTAGTTGTAAGCAAGCCTATAGCATTAGTGTTACTAGAAGCATTATCCATTGAAACCGACATTATTTTATCTCTAATGCAAAAATATCTACAAATATCTGCAACTATGTTAGCAATAAACTTACATGTGTAGCGTGAATTAATTATTCTATAAGCAATAATGCGCTTTTGCATTATCCACTCCTCATCTATCCAATGACTTGTAACAGTTAGATAATCACAGTCATTACCACTTCTACCAATATCAGTAGTACTAGCAATGCGACAATCTATATGAGTAAATAAATAGCGCAAATATTATTCATATTCATGTTTATATTTATAAATATCGCTCTTTACGGTTGCGCGAGGCCATCCTTTATAAATAGGAATAAAAACTCTTCTAATATAATGCACAAAATGAGGGTTAGAAGGAAAACTATAGGGTAAGCACATAACAGTAACCATTTTTGTTAATTCTTCACGATCTTTAGTTGGATCATAATATAAAATGTCACCGGTAACAGTGTTAATTTCCGGTTGAACTACATTTGACCATGTACTAGGGTTAACTATAGTATCTACACGTGTCCCCTCTTGTGCAGCTTTCATTTGTAAATATCTAGCTTTATCTCTAGGGTGTTTCTTTATATGTCTAGTCAAA